TTAAAAAAAAGGTAGCAATCTGTTCATCACCCTTACTTTCTAACCCAGTTTTAAATATGTTAGATTTTCTCAGTAAATAATATCATTTATCATCAAATGCAGATCCTGGGATAGGAACAGAAATCCATTAAGTATTTCCTATTCTAAAAAGTAAAGTGTAGTTTTACTGTTGATGCTCAAACTACTAGTTTGAGTTTACACTTACTTTACAATAAGAGTTGTCCATGACTAAAAAGAGTCCCTTTAAATTGTAAGTATTATCATATAATTTAGTTGGCATTTATTGAGGGCTTATGCTCTAAACATTTTGTAGATTTTACCTCCTATGATTCTCATGAAACTCTATAAAGTAATTATTTCCATCCACATATAACAGAAGAGGAAATCAAGAGTGCAAATAATTAGCTGGAAGTCACATATTTGCTCCAGAGAGGTAGGATCGCAACTTAGCTTTCTTTGAACCAAAGTTCATACATTTAATTATATATGTAAATATACATCTATACAATTTAATTTATATACATATATCTATAAAACCAGGCTCACAGTAAGTGTTCAAAAGTGTTTTTAAAACAGTTCGATAAGCCAAAAATGCTATTGATATCATATGACAAAAGAAAATGAAACACACTGACCTCTGAGTTTACCACTAATAGAACGAGTACATGAAATAACACTAAAAGGACAAACTTGCTCCTAGGCCTATATGACACTGATATTTTAATAAAACTGAAGGACTGATGCAATGATCAGAAGGAAGATTGAGGAAGGCTAAGATTGACTCTGAACATGTTATAAGAAGGGTCTTCTCTGATCCAAGGAAGTTGGTAGCTGACACATCACTATCGAGGAGGTAAGTATATCCATGTCACCCAGTCTGTGCCACTGCAACTTTCTGGTTAGAATTTGTCTTCTCTATTTGTCCACAGATAGTGCCAGCTAGACAGATTCGTGGATTCAGGCACATTAGCAGTCATAATTCTCACTATGCATTACTAAATTAGGCTTCTGGATTTCTGCCTCACTCAGTTTAAGTTTTATTCAGCTGCCTCTACCTCTGATAGTCAGCTTTACCCTCCACAAATGGCCTTGATGACATTCTGATCCTACTATTCATTCATCCATTCATTCATGAAGTATTTATTCAGCACCACGTACATCTATCTGCAATAGACTGTGGAAATGCAAAAATGAACAAGACCGTTCCCTTAAATAGTTTACATGAAGAAATACAAAACAGAGGGTGTTTGTCAGTCAGATGAGAACTAAATGATCTTGTATCTGAGCTTAGTGGACCGGAAGAAGGGAGAAAGCCAGCCTTCCAGGAAAAGGGAACAGAACTTGTGAAGGTTCACATCTAGTTAGAAGCCAAGGACTAGCTGCTGACAGATCTCTATCTGTTAGCTGGCTGGGCCTGTCAGCAGCCTTACAAAGTTATAATGAAACATACCTTCTTCTGCAGAAAGATCTGATGTGTCATTTTTATAACCATATACACTCTACTATTTCATGACCTCTTTTCTTTATCACAGGCCACATGAACAGATAGCAAACCAAAGTCCATTCCGTCAGTGGCTCTCCTCTGGGCTTCATGCTTTTTGCTCTATGACATCATCTTACTTTGTTTCCTCATGTTTTGAGAAAGAGAAGTTGCCGACCAAGAACGATTGCCATTCTAACCCTATTTGACATGAGTCATTTCGGAGCTCTTAACATCTAGCACCCTTCATGCATTCAAGAGTTCTCACTATGTGTGCTGTGAAAATGACACACAATCCAAGGATCTGGCTTCTGACTCTGCTGTTGGAAGCTTCTGATATTAGCCTGTAGAATTCTGTTCAAGGTATCAGGGAACGATTTCCCCAGTGCAAGCTGAAGAGAACATTCCTAAGGATTTCAATATGAAAATAGCTGAAGCATGAAAAGTGCAAATTGTTGTCCAGAATAAAAACAATTAGGGATCTTGGAAGTAAGGACAGTATATCTTGAACATGAAAGCTTGCATGAGTTGTCTAATGTGGGCCCACTTTCCAGTTTATATAGGGGAGGTCAGTGTGAAACAGGCTAACCAGAGCATAATCCAGAGGGACGACTTTGACACCTCCTCCATCAATGACATGTTGCCTTCAGTGATGTATTTTCATGACATTTTCCCCTTAGTTTCTTAAAGACAGCATTTTTAATTTGTAAAAGGTAAAATGTTAGTAAATATAAAGTTAAAAAAATTTCGTAGAAATGAGCCTTATTAAATTCATTTAGGGTGCCACTGAAATGTACGTAATTTTATTTTCATTTCTATTGAAAGTAATTATTGGGTGTGATTAAAGCAAAAGAAATCAGGAGTGAAATTTGTATTTAACAACTTGTAAAGGTCTTCCGCCTGGATTGTCCCTCTCTCAAGCCATTGCCTCTGTCTAGTCACTGGTATCCACTTGCTTTGGCTTATTCTAGTTGTTATTATGTTAACTTTATATCATAGGGTGGCAGCTTTTATTTTCTGACTTTATCTTTATACACTATTTCATTCTCCTGTGAAGAAAAAATAATCCCTAACAGTATCTCCCAAATTCATTTAATTCTCAATTTTTTTGTGAATTATAAATTTTATTTCTCTCTATTCAGTGGTCTTCATGACCTTACACAGCATATTGCCAACACTGTTTTGTATTTATCGACTTGACTGAAAGAATATCACTTTTTTCAAATAAAAAACTGAGATTAATGCATTTTGCTCTTTATTTTAATACATAAATATTAGTCTATTTTATAATTTTGACATTCTATTGTTATAATTAGCTTCATTTGTGCTTCTTCATATAGGTAACTTGAAAATTAATACTATTTACAGCATTGTAGAATGAAGCAAAATACTGCAATTGTAGAGACAGAAATGTCACTTAAATGTTGCTGTTCAAAGAGGAATCTTCCTAACACCTTCTGTGCATCAGTGTATCTCCGGGTATTTTCTGTCTAGTCTGCTTTGCTTCTTGTGGATCCTAGTCAGGTGCTTGTGTTTCTTGTTTCAGGTGTCAATCTTCAGTTTTCTCCCTTTTAGTGCTCTTCCCTAGAGTATCTCTTCTAAACTTTTTAACATGGGGCATGCCAGCTGTCATTTGAGTTGCTGTCCATCTTAAATTTTCTCCACTTTCTTTTGCATTCGATTGCAAGTTTGTGTATCTAATTCCAGCTTCAGAATAATGACACTCAGAACCTTAAAGTCATTGCCTGCTTGCCTCTAATGTTCAATCTTGCTGCCAAGAATTCTGCCACCTTCAATCTGTCTTGCACTCCTTGAGGATGCCTTCTATTTACCGTTTTGAATGCTTTCAGAATTTTTCTCTTAAGGCATATGGTTATGGATTTTTAGATAGTTTTAAAATCTAGGATATCTGCACTCTTTTCTAATATGAATTATTATCACCTTAAGATGTAAGTAAGCTTAACTTTTTCAGTTGTAAATAACTTTAAGTGAAATTTGAGTGCAATGAATAAAAAAGCTAAATATTGTAGACAATGAAACACAGTGCAGAACTGAGAGGCTTGGGGTATCTTTAAATGAGAAGAAGCTCTGATGAAATTTTTTAATTTTTACTATCCAATATGCTACACAAACAAAACCATATTTATATAAAGTAATCATACGAAGGAAATATTTTTTTGAACAATCACTTGGGTATTGAGTCTCCAGTCTCAATAAATTGGTTGTCAACCAGTATGATGTTAGAAAGTCATTTGAGATGGATTCTTATTCAGTTGCAGTTTCCCCCCAAATAGTTGTTATTTAAACCACTACCCATTGCACTTACTGTTTCTCCTATGTGTTTCATATTGCATTTCATCACAGAGCTTTAATTGACTTCAAAAGGAACTCAGCACGAGGAGGAACTATGTGGGATACAAAGAAAGAGCCAGACTCGGCTTTCTATAAACATACCTTGTCCGCTCTCTGAGTCATAGCCATTTTGTTGACTGTTTACTTTTTCTGTTGTCAGCACTATAGAGCTAACACCAACGACTTGGAAGTGAGCTGTGAGCTATTCTTAGTTTATTACAACCAGCTCTTGATAAGTTGGGGACTCATTATGTACTCTGTGAACTGGTTTCTTGTCCTTACTGTGGCCTGTGATGTGGCCTTGTGCTGGAGCATTAGACCCTTTAACACCAGAACTTTTCTCCCAGTGTCAAAGTGTGGATAAGGGGAACGAGAAAAGACATCATTAGGATGACAAGTGGAAAATTTACTTACCTCAGGTTAAAAGATTTGACCAGTCTTTGGATGGGCATAGAATTCTGTGACTCTATAGTGGCTTCTAACTATTGAGAGTCTTTGATACTATCAGAGAGGAAGCTGAAATTTTGGGCTAACTTGTTGAGAAAGACAGTTATTAATAAAGAAAAAGATATCTTGATTCCTGATGGAAAGAATCTATATTAGGACCATGCCTATTTTATTTTTATCTAATACATTTATCTAAAATAACAGAAGAAAATGAAATAATTGATTACTTTACTTGTCTGCAAATGTATGGTTATTATGCCATCCATTTCATATAGATTATTAAAAATAACTCATGTAAAACACTGTGCTTGGGCTTATTGTAAGTATTCATATATTTTTTTCTTAGATGTTTTTCTGCCTCTTCTTTTTGCCCAGGACATTTTTTCCCACTATTTTGAAGAACTTTGTGGCAGTTTTTAAATAAAGATAAACATATCTAACTCATAACCCAACAATTCTATTCCTAGAATTTACCAAAGAGCATGTACAGGCTGTGTCATGGCAGCCTTGTTTATAATTGCTTCAAACTGTAAACAAATCAAAGAAAAGATAAAATGTGGTAAATTTACATATTAGAATACTATTAGCAAGAAATGAAAACAATATAGGCAGGGTTGGGGGGTTGGTAGCTCAGTGGTAGAGCAGTTTCCTAGCATGCTCCAGGGCTTAGGTTCAATCCTCAAGTGCCATACACAAAAAATGATATACGCAATAACGTGGCTGAATTTTAAAAGTATTTTACTAAACCAAAGCAACCAGACATAGAAAAGGTAAAATGCTATATATATTTTTTCAATATATGAGGTCCAAGAATAGGTAAAATGAACCTGTAGGAGAAGAAATAAGAAAGATGACCGTTCTGGGGGTGCAGGACAAAGGAGTAACTGATTGGAAAGGGGACTGAGCAGATTTCTGGGGGAATAAAATTAATTTTATCTGATTTGGGGTAGTGGTTACTTGGGTATATTGTCTATGTCAAAATTTTTCAAATTAAGCTTGGAGATCCGATGATAAGAATCCAGAATTGGGGATACAGGAAGGGCAAAAATTTAGGCTCTCAATAGGATGAACAAGATAAATGCTTACTTACCAGAACTGTGTGGGTTTATAGTTACTATAATCAGGGAGGGTTAGAGGAGGCAGTAGTCAGAGAAGGACCAGCAGCCAACATGGCTTGATGGTGAACCTCTGTATGGATGACTGATGATTCTTTAAATGTCTTCAGCCACAAGAAACACTGGCTGGAACGGGAGTGGGACCATTGTGGAAAGTAGAGGCATGAAGAGCCAGTCAGTTGCACTCAGACCTGAAATGTGTATCCATATCCATAAGGGGCCTGTTACCCTGGAGGGCCCTACCCAACTTAAGCACAGGGCAATCCTGCTCACTCTCTGGGTGAGTGGGATCCCTCATCTACTCCTGTCTAGCTTTTTGTTTAAAACAAAGTTTTGCCACCTTCTCTTTTCTTCCTGTATCATCTCCTCCACACTCACACCCCACCTTCTCCCTTGCTTTACTTAATGATGTATCTCCTGTAAAAGTTATAGCAAAAAGAAATTGCCATAGTGGAAGGTCATTCCGCCAAGACCAGCAGTAGCAAACTAGAGGTCATTAACTGTGGAAAAGGAGAGAGAGATCTGAGGTAAGAGAAAAATCGCAGCTCTAGATTGATGGTGAGCTAGATATTTTGGTATAAGATGTACACAGAGGAAAGATGGTTCTCTGCTTAGCTTCATTTTCTTCAACAGGAGATGTAGATAGCTACAAAAACTAGGCCCCCAAACACACACACACACACACACACACACACACACACAAGTTAAAGTCCTGGTGCCCAGAACCTTAATGTATTTATTTTCTTCCTTCTGTTCTTTGTTTTCTTCCATGTTTCCTTCTTCTCTCCCTCTCTTTCTTCTCCTCCTCCCCTTCCTTCCTCCCTTCCTTCTTCTGACTCCTCCTCTTTTCTCCCCTCCCTTTCCTTCCTCTTCTCCCCCTCCTCTTTCTTCTTTACAGTGATGTTGGCAGCATAAGTCAAGATCATAGTGGAACTAGGTGTAGTGGCGCACACCTGTAATCCCAGCGGCTCTGGAGGCTGATGCAGGAGGATGGAGAGTTCAAAGTCAGCCTCAGCAACAGCGAGGTGCTAAGCAATTCAGTGAGACCCCGTCTCTAAATAAAATATAAAATCTGGTGGGGAATGTGCCTCAGTGGTTGAGTGCCCCTGAGTTCAATCTCTAATACCCTCCACAAAAAAAAAATCACAGTGGGAATGACATCTGAGGAAGAGAAGCTTGTTTAACAAGGAGGCAGAAGGAAACGGTCTACATTTGCCTCTGTATTTCAGGTAATTCTGCTGCGCTACAAACCATCATGTTTAAATGCTGTATGAAATGTGTGTGGTGGGGAAGGGGCCAGTACAGCTGGCTCCTTTCTCATACAGCATCTCCCTTCTGGAGCCCTCGTGATACAGCAGAAACCATTAGCTTTGGAATCACAATGAGTTTTAATTTTAAGTTATGTGATCTTGGACATAACCTACTCATAAAAGGTTAGCTACTCATAACCCTTTTATTCTCAGTGCCCTTCCCTGATAAATGATCTGATAATAAGGAGTGTTTTATAGGGGTGTTTTGAGAGCAATGATTGCCCATTGTCCCTGGTACATACCCAGTGAAGGTTGGTTGCTTTCGTGTGCTGCACCTTCAACAGTGTGTGTCTACCAGTTCTCCTCCACAGATCCATTGTTTTTCTCATCTTAAAAAAAGAAGTATGGTGAATTAACATGGCTCTTGGTGATACAAATAAAAACACTTGACGTTTGTAAAGTACCACACAATGAACAAAGTGTTTTCATGTGCGTGAAGTAAGAGCAGCTAGGAAGAGAAACGGTAAACAAATGGAAGAGACCCCTTTTAGTACTAATTTATCTCCTGAGTTTCAGCTCATGGAAGAACCAATTTGCAAGTTGGTTCACCCCAAATTTCCTACTTTTTTGGCCTAACCTTTCAATAGTTGCAACATATGAGCTTTATTTATTACTTTCAATAAAATTATGTAAGTATTTTTAATAAAATTATTCTTATGAAACCAGAATTTACATTACTTTTGCCTCACTTAGTCATTAATGTGATATTTATTGAGCACCTACTATGTGCCAGAGGATTTTACAGATGAGGATAAACTGTGAAATAGACATGGCCAGTGTTCTCATTACAATGAAGGCACATAGACAATAAAAAAGTAAGTGGAGACAATAATCTCAAATGATGACAACTGTGAGAAAAAAATCAGATGAGATAAAGAGGGCTGAGGTGATGATGGCTATGTATATTGAGAAAAAGGGAAGTTCTCTTTGAGCAGACATTTCAGCTGAGTGAATGCTGAGGCAACCATGCAAAGATTTAGGGGGCAATGTTCAATGTTCAAGAGAGAATAGTAAGTGCAAAGGCCCTGAGCCTGGAGTCATTTCAGATACATTATACTCCCTAGGCTCCTTAAGGTTCTGCCTGTGTGAGAATTTTAACAATATGGAATTATTTGATCTGTGAAGAAGGTAAAGTCGCAAACATGTCTGGCCACCCTGTCCTAAGTGAGAATGGACTAAAATCCAGTGTTCAAGTTAATAGTTAATGGTCACCTTACATCCAAAGGAGAGCCAAGTTCCTAGGTCCTCAGATGAAACTTGGTGAATCATTTAATATAGTAAGTTCTATTAAATGTTGTTCCTTGTCCCTCAACTTGTGGAAGTCTCCGGAAAAGTTAAGGGATGGAGGGTTTTGTTCCCATACCTTCTGCTTTCATGCCACCCCCACTTCCTTTCCCACTCTGTACTGAGGCAACTGTGACATCCTGCGTGGATAAGGAAATGACGTTTGTCTTCGACGCCCACTTGGCCCCAGCTATTGGCCCCAGCTATTTTTTTCTTATCCCTACCCCCATCTCTAGCCCTGCCCACCCAGTATGAGAACATGGAAACTCATTCTGGAAAATGTGACCTAAGTGGTCCCCAAAGGTAACTTTTCTTTTCCTTGCAGTGATCATATTTAAGGTGATTTTTTTTCCTGCACTATATTTAGCTGTCTTCATTTTTATTTTGGTAACCAATATACAATTTATATTTTTCTTATATTTAAAAGACCTGTTTTCTCATAGAAGTAGATAATACCAGAAAATGGCTATTATGTTTCCCAGTGACCGCATCAGTACCTTGTCTCACGTGTAGAAAGTGGGGCACTTATTACCTGGGATGGCCCAGAAACCTTATCTTATATGGGTTTCCATGTCTTGGCAGAAAACAAAGGTTAAAAAAAATATATTTACTTGTACACGATGGTGAGTATGTTGGAATAACTCCTTCACTTAAAAGCATTCTTGAGAGAACTCTTCTCAGTAAGAAGATGCCAGAGTACATTTAAAATAAATTTGATTCAGTTCCAAATGTTAAGGGCATCACACAAAGGGAATTAAACTTGCTGGGTGCATCACGGACTAGGGATAAAATAAACAGTTTTAAAAGGATGTGATATCACTCATCTCTTTAGGAAAGCATTTCTCTGTCTTAGAGTTAGAGCTTCAGGCAGAGGAAATGGGAAGGCGGAGAAAACCTGGACTAGTTCCAGAGGAGGCGATGGGTCATGGAGAATGAATGAGTCCACTGGCATCAGAGGGCGTGTGGTAAGGGGCCAGGGAAGAGGGAAGAAAGGAAGCCATGGAGCTTTGAATCCCCTCACTCCCACACTCACACACACCCACCAGGCTCTTGGGGGACAGAAACAGTACTTAGTGTCCTGTGAGAGTGACTGTGTACCCCAAGCACCAAATCACTGCCAGAAACCGGCTTGGCTCTGGAGGAGAGTCTGACACACCAAAGTTAAGGAGGTGATGAAAGTAGAAGAATCACTGTGATAGAAGAAGAGCATTGTACATTGTCAGCATCTAGGTGTTCTATACAGAAAGGATGGGAGGACAGTGAGAAGTTTCTCTTTAAAGAGAAGAAATGCAAAGGAAGTTGGTAGAATGTAATTGAAAGCAAAAAAAAAAAAGTGGTTTGACATAATTCTAAAACATTATCTTAACTAGCTGCTCTAAGATCTCTATATCATCTGTGTAAGGCATTTTAATTTCCCAGTGAACAAAAATGGGAGAAGGACCCCTGTTTTTGTGAATATCCACTTCTGCATCTCCAGCCTCTGGCATGTACACCTGAGATTCACCTGTCTATCATCCTTGTTCATCAGACTTACATCCTCAACACTAAAAGTTCTTTGAATTTATATAACATTTGTCATTCCAATGACCTTAAAATACTTTAAGGGGATTTTATTTTTACTTAATGTTTATTCCCTTTAAATTCAAGAAATGAAAACATTATGTGAGTTTATATATAGAACACAGTAATTAAATATGGGGGACGCACAGGTAACAAGTAAATGGAACAAGATGAAAATATAATGGAAGTATTCCTCAAATTAGTATCTTTTTTTTTTGACACTGCTTATTCTGAAGCCAAATAAAAGTGTTTGGAAATAAAATGAAAATACTTTGTGGTTTTTTCACCACACACCCACAATCCCCAGAGTAATTTATTACACCATAAACAGGGTTGTGCTCCTCCAACAACAGGAATGTTTTCTATAGGAGGAAACAACTTCATTATAATCAAAATTGCTACATGGTTTGGCCTCTGCGTATCGGTCCACATTAGGGCAGGCACCACGGTTTACACCCTCAAAAGCATTGTTTGAATATCCAGTTAATGGTCATTTGATTCCAATCTCACTTTTTGTCCCCCTCTTCTTTCACTCCTCCGTAGCTACGCTGGCTGACTCTCAGTTCCAGGAAGCAGTTAAACTTTTCCTGTCTTTGGGTCCCACCAAAGATATGTCCCTCCTGCCTGAAGTACATTTCTCACTGTCTTCATTGAGTTAACCTTTAGGCCCCTTTCAAGTCTGCAAAAACTCACTTCCTCACCCCTGGTGTAAATCTCTGAGCCTCTTTCATTACTCTTCATTGTATGTATGAGAATTTGCAATCCTCTTGCTATAATTGAGATGTGGTTTGTCTCCCAAAGGTTCTTGTGCCGTAGGCTGGTCCTCAGTGTGGTTGTGTAGAGATGGGGTCATCTTTAAGATGAGCCTTAGTCTGAGGTAATTGGGTCATTGGGGGCACTACTCTCGGCAGTTAATAATGGTCTTCCAGAGTGAGTGCATTCTTGCAAGAAGGGATTATTAAGTGAGGCCACCCCATGCACTTGGCCTTTTTTTGCATGTGGCTGTTTTCCTTTCCTCTTCTCCACCATGATATAGTAATAGGGTGCTCATCAGAGGCCCAACAGATAAAGTTTGCTCAATCTTTGACTTTCAACCTCTCAAACTGTGATTTAAATAAAACCTCTTTCTTTATAAAATATCCAGCCTCAGGTAATTTGTTGTAACAATAGAAAACAAACTAAAATACCTACATTTATATGTGTTTATTTCTTTAATATAACTCTTTTCTACAAGACTTAGAGAAGGGAGAAAATCAGAATTTGGTGGTTCTCACTACTATGGTCTGCAGGTTCCTATGTATCTGTTTTGTTCACCATAGACACCAAGTGCCTTCTTGTTACTTTCCTGGAACATAGCAGGCACTCATTACATTTATTCAATAAATGAGAAAATGATCAACCAAGTCATGCAATGTCCTCATGGAATCAGTTTTCCTGAATCCAATTAACCCAGCCTCTGTTGAGCCCTGTTCTATGTAATGCATACATATAATGGCTCAAAACGCAGCACCCTCATCATCAGCTAGAGCTGGATAAAAGACCAAATCTCAGATCCAAATGTACTGATTCATAATCTGCTGTTTAACAAGATACACAGGAAGTTCCAATTACACTTCTAATTAAAGTCTAATTGCTCTTAGGGCACATTTATCTAATAAGCCTGAAAAAAAAACAACAACAACAACAACAAAGAAACTAAATGACTACTGACATTCTTTTCACTTTTAAGCAAACTTCATGGCTGACCAAATAGGCTGATTGCTAATTATAATGGAAATGAAAAATGTTGGGAATTTATCAACTATTCTAAACTTCTTAAATGTGATCCCTAGTCATTCTTGTAGATAGAGCAAAAAAAGATAATTCTGTCAATCATAAAATTTCCGATTTCCCATCTTGGCATATTATTCTAATCTAAATAAGAATAGTCAGATTTGGATCCCAATCTAAAATGAACATAAAGACATACAGAGTGTTGAAATTTTATAATGGCTTTTAAATAATTATAAATTATCCCACTTAAAAATTTATGATTAAAGGTAAAATCATAGTGATACATAATAAACTCACTCATGTTGGTGACTCACCGATCGTTTATACACACATGTCTTCAAAAATCCAGTGGACTTTCACACAAAAAGAATTTTTGCCTTTCACTTACTTCAACAATCGGTTTCCTGTTCATCAAGATTTTGAAACATCACCTGAGGTTTACTTTAATATAAACAAGAACAAATTAGGAGGACCCAGGCCAATATTCGGAATGCCAGAGTCAACCAAATGAACTTTGATTCAAAGCAAATAATGTTACAAATTCCCTAGCTGATCTGGCATTCGCATTGACTTGGGAGCTGTCTTTATGAGCCTGACGGCCATAATGAGGGCAGAGAGAGCAAGTTCAGGATACATGCCAAGGCATGCCTAAGCTCAGCATTCAACAGGCCAAGCAGCTGCCAAATCAAAACCTTGCATTTTAAGCAAATCTCCATATATAAGGTCATCTTCATGCATATTAAAATTTTGGACCTATGGTATTAAAAAAATAAGGAAGGCACAAATTTGATTTTTAATGTTCCAAACCCAAGACTGAAAGGCCATCTATGGATTACAAAGTTGAATATTTAGTTGTAGTACCTATTAATGAAATAGGATGATTTAGATTATTCCTATTAGATTTTAAAATGACCCATGGGCAGTAAATTAAAACTAGATTTAAATAAATACGTATTCAGGGCATCCCCAAGTATGCTTCAGGAAGGAAATGGAGGTTTAAGGGGGCTCTGACATTGCACAGTGTTGAGGTTAAGGCTTTGGAGTCAATAGAACTGGATGCAAATTCTTGTTCCCATAATTAGCAGTGAGCCTCATGGTCAAATAAATAATAGTAACTTTCTCAGAAGGGTTTTAAACTACTAAATCAAATACTTGCATAAAGTATGAGAGTTACTATTAATAGAATTAGGACAACTGAATTAATGAAACTATTTTTAAAAACCACTAAGCTTTCTAGAGACTTAAAAAGCACTCACAGTAATATAAAATACCTGTCATAACACCATCTTATCAGGAGTTAACTTTGGACAGTCATCTCACTCAATGTATCTTCACTGAGAATCCATATTATATTGTACTCATTACTATGTATATAAAAAGAATAGAAAGACCTGTGGAGTGGAACTTAGAGTTTAGTGGAGATGAGGTGCTTAAAAATAATAATCATACCATCAAAACTGTATGAATTGTTATAAATATCATGGACAAAAATTCTAGAATTTTCAGCAAACATTTCAAGGAGAACTAATCTAAATATCAAAGTCGGGAAGTGCTTCTAAGAAAAGTGGGTATTGTAGTTCAGATTTCAATACTGAGTAAAAGTTTGCCAGGGCAGAAGTAGGGAGCAGTCCCAGTAGAGGTTGGCATAGATGCAGCCCTAAGTCTGATACAGTACTCATGACTGAAAAAAAAGATCCAAGGGAGGAGCTCAGGTGAAGCTGAACCACACAGAATTCTGGATGTCTTCTACCCTGATTGCCAATGGGCTGCCTTTGATGAGTTTTAAGGGGAGGAATGATGTGATCCATCACCTGGCTCAGCGTGGAGGGTGAATTAAACTGTGCCCATAGTGGAAGCAAGGAGTCTACTTCAAGGGGGTATCTTGAAGTATGGGAGCATAAGTTGACCTTTAGTGGATTCTTTCTGTAGATAACATGGCTGGAGTGTGGGGCAAGAAGGGGTTTTACAAGCTCACGTTTAAGTTTCCTTTTATATCATTTTATATGTTCTTGCTGGGGGATTAACTAACAACTGTGTGGGTTGGCTGATTTACTTCCAACAAATATTTATTAAGATTTTTCATGTGCCTGTTATCATCCTCTAAGCACTTGGAATACAGCAATGTACAAAACACATGCAGACATTGCTGTTACTAATTGTACACTCTAGTAGGGGATAATATTAAACAACTAAGTAAATATATAAGATACCCAGGAAGAAAAACAAATGCAAACAAGACAGTAAATGAAAGTGGTATAGTTAAGGAAGTTAGTATAGTTAAGGAAGAGTTCTCAGGTAACATGATTTTTGAGCAGAAATAAATATGTCTTTAAAGTTTGGAGAGTATTTTCAAAGGAACATAATAAGTAAATGCAAAGGTCCTGGGATCAGTGTTGTACTTAATATTTTCAAACAACAGCCTGAAATTTTGGTCAGAATTAAAGTGATTCCATCATCATCATCATCATAATCATCACCATCTTCTTTGTCATTACCCTCACTGCCACCACCACCATCATCATCATTATTACCACCACCACTATCATTATCATCCTCACCATCAACATTACTACCATCATGTAATTTTGGAAAAGTTCCTTAGAGACAGTCATTTGCTTCTTTTTTTTCTTCTTCTTTTTTTTGGGGGGGGTACTAGGGATTGAAGCCAGGGTGCTTCAACACTGAGCCACATCCCTATCCCAGTTTTATTTTATTTTATTTTTTGAGACAAGGTCTTGCTAATTTGCTTAGGGCCTTGCTAAGTTGCTGAGGCTGGCTTTGAACTTGTGATCCTCCCACCTCAGCACCCCCAAGCCACTGGGATTACAGGTATGCACAACCACACCTGTTTTAGGCAGAAATTTAAATTTTTAAGTACCTCAACATTTTTTAGGACTTTGGCATTAAAAGTTGGGAAAATAAATCATTTTAAGGGAGTTAGTTTTGGTCTTTAGAATAAGTCAGAATCAACTAAGACACTAATAAAAATTCCTATTCCTCCATTAAGAATTGGATCCACTGGATCCAGAGCAGGGGCCCAGGAATTCACCTGTGTGAAAACATCACAAGTGATTTATTGTTGGTGCGAGTGGTCCACTATACCTTAAAAAAACCTCCTTTTTAATGACTTTAGGGTTGAGGTCTCACAACTCCTGCAATTTGTAATCACTTCCACCATTGCACATGTATTCTGTAACTCAGTAATGAGGACTTAAAATATTAATCTCCAAATGGCAAAAGTCATCATAAAGACAAGAGACCCAACCTTAGAGAGAAAATATCTAATACATGGAAACTGATGCAGAAATGAAACCAAGGAGTTCAAATTCACTGCTAGTTGAAGACTGATGATGCAATCATTTTTCTCCAATTAAACGTATTTTTTAATTGGCCTCCATGACAAATCTTTTTCTACTAATAAAAGTTTTTTTCTTTCTTTTTGGTACTGGGAATTGAACCCAAGGATGCTCTACCTTTGAGCTACATCTCAAGCCCTTTTTAAAAATTTTGACACAGGTCCTTGCTAAGCTTCTGAAACTGGTCTTGAAATCCTCCTACCTCAGTTTTCCAAGTTGCTGAGATTACAGGTATGTAACACTGTGCCCAATCCTCTGCTAATTAATATAACTTCAGGGAAAATTCCTCAAACAGATATAATTTATAAGAAGTCTGGTATTTGGCATTCCTAGATAACAATGTTATGATTAATTAAGAATATGCCAAATATGGCTTACATAAATGCAATTTCAAGTATTAGAATATATAAATATGCTTAGACTTTAATTCTTAACAATATTTTAATACTGTATTGTTGCAATGATTAATAATAATTATCCTTGTTTCAGAAGTGCCAAGTTAACAGAGAATTCTGATTAATAAAATGCTGGGTAATATAAAACTAATATAACTGTATTATTTCCTTTAAATCCTGATATTTGCAACAATAGAATACTGTTCTTTCAGTGTTTACTCTGATATCAAGTATCAATTGACATTTTTACCTTAACAACTTGTTGGTAATTAAATTCTCCTCTTTCTGCATGCCAAGCTGATTATATCCTGTTAGTTTCCAATCTTTAAAAGTAGCTACTGGATCATCATCCTGTTCTAACTCAGAAAAAGAAAGTGATACCTAATATGGGTCAGCTGTTTGAATATTTTTTTTTCTTTCTTAATAATTAGCTCTTTTATTATCTCATTCAAAGGGGTAATAAGGCACCTGACAATGTCTGATGTTTTTGAGAAACATAAACCTAAGATTAGCATTTGTAGAAACATAGCAAGGGATATCAACAAACAAAACATTAACTTTAGATCAGACTCTGAGATTCTGACCTTAGTAATTTGGCTAGATGATTTTCCATTCTGAATTTTTGTCAAGGTGCTTTTTAAAATAATTATGGTTATTATGATAAATAACTCTAGTTAGAAGTTTAACTTGAAAGTAGACTAATGTTTTTCCATCCATGTAAATCACTTTTATATTTGGACTCAAAACTCAAAATAACTCTCCCTCTCATCTCCACCCTGGGTCCCAGCATAATGTTAATTCTTTAATCAGTTGTTTGCCCTGAATATTAAGTTGGTTCCATGCTAAGTACAAAGAGCTTTAGAAAAGAATCTCTGCCATTGCCCCAATAGTCCTGACAGAACTCCTAAAAGATGTTTTATCACAAAACCCAATAAAATTGGATTCTAAAATCGAAAATAAAATGTTAATAGCTATGAGCAAATTTATTTCTTGCCAAACCTCATTTAGTCTGTTCCACAGTTTAGGCACCAGTGAATTGGGATGTGACTCTGAGTAAGGCAGGGGATTCATGATTTTTCTTCTTCTCCTTTCCAAGGCAGTATTGGACTCGAAAGGGCCAGTGAAACTGATTTCCAAGCCTCTGGTCCTCAAATAATGGTACAATCTCCATCAGCCTTTCTGAAGATGCCTCATTTTCCTTGAAATGGAAGAGCAAAGCTCATTTGGTCTTTGCTTAAGAGGATGATATGAGATCAGACACCAGAGCAGGTTGGAGGAGAGCAAAAGTTTGGATAGGCAGCAGACCTTCTAATGCTGGCCTGCACCACTTCTTCAATTTCCCATAACCTAAGGGGAAGCTGCCCTCTTCTCCTTCGAGTTGCCAAAGGGTCATCATTATACATGCACACATATAATTTTAATCGGTTTTTAAATCCTTTCTCATGCTGCTGACACATCTCAGCATATCTCTACTTAAATATTCCAAGTGTAAATCAACAGTACCAAGAACTCAAGTATAGTCCTTCCAATGTGGAAATTAAACATAGATTATATGGTGGTAACCTGAGACATTTGCATTCTCTGCCAAGATTTTAGCTTTCTGTTCTGAGCATTGCTAATACATTCCTTTGATTGTGGCATTTAAGTTCCTTAGGTGAGGAAACTCGAAGT